TTTGTGGACTCGAAGTCCTAGATAGAGGCATGAAGTCTAACAGATACTGGGTGAATGCAAGTTGCGTGGACAGGAGATGTGAGCGGGAAGTTTGTATGGGACATGAGGGCAGGGCCTGTCTTTGATCCCAAAAACATGGCGTCAAAAAGCCCCACTCTCGCACCTATGACTATCCAGTCTAGTTATACATAGTATATACATGTCTATGTTTGCCCTCTTGTCCTCGGGCCGCCTGATATCTTTATGCGTCCTCTACCCATCCCTCTATGCATGCTATTCGAGAGGACACACTACAGGAAAGGTGGGCTCGATTTACGATCGGCTCACGGTAGGGCATTGCATCATGAGATCTCTCTTGCGAGTTGTAATAGGCACTTCGAAATAAGAGCAGGTTTACGACCCAATGGATTCTTCGAGGTCCAACTCGAGGAACCGAACCTCGAGAGCGGAGAGCTGCCGATGTGGGCCGAACTCTCGCGGAAGACAGATACCAAGACGATTTTCCAGAACCGAAGTGTTGGAGACCCGACGAACGTCTGCAGATCTGGATGAACGATGAGGAGAGTAGGTAGCGGAACAAAACCTCTTCCTTAAGCAAGATGCCATAGCTCTCGGCGATTCACCGTAGGAGAATAGACTGATGGGAACCGGATCCGAGACGTCCTTTGAAAGACGAAGAATGGAGCCGAAATAAAGACACGCGAAGACAGCATCGTACACTCGAGACGAGAGGCATCTATTCCTCGGAGAATAAACAAAGAATTTTTTTTTACTAAAATGGATTACATTTTGATGAGTGATGACGAAGGCGCGAAAGGGATTTAAACGATTTGAAGAATCCGTAAGATGTTTACATGGAGCTTTCACTTTACACTGACGTGTTCTTCGCTTTTCTCAGCGATTCGTGAGCAACCGGGTCAACCCGTGGGGCTACCGATGGGTCGCCTTCCTCGATTTCCAGAAAGGGTTGTATTTTTGTCTGAGTACAGGTCGACGCCCAGCAGCATCAAGATCGTTGTACAATAAGCGATTGGTCGACCTGGCGCAAGTGGCTCTAAGAATAAGCCCGGGAACCCATCGGCCTCATCCCAAAATCCCCATCCCCCGCATGATCCCGATGTAAACCCCTGGCCCCGATGTAACTTCATCGAGCCCAGGGCATCTCTGACGTGGAACCCTAAGCCTCCGCGAAGCCATTCTTTCTTCTTAGATCCGCAAATCCCCTAAGGAAAATAATTCGGTGGAAACGAAAGTTCTCTCGAAAGTTCTACTTCTGGCCATAGGCGCCGAACCCAGGGGGGCAAAGGGGCACGTGCCCCCCCAACTATATTATTGAGGGGGCAACGCCCCCCCAAGAATGGCAAAATTTCAAGAAAGGCACATGGAAAATTGAAAACAAAATGCTGCTTCACGAAAGAAATGAAAAATATGATATTCCTTTCTGTTTTGAGCTCCAACTGGGGGAGATCCCAT